AAACTGGATGAATGGGACCTTCTAAAAATCAAATTTTTATGTGCTTCCAAAGACTTCTTCTTCAAAAGAGTCAAAGGAGAACCTACAGATTGGGAAAAAATATTCAGCATCGACATATCTGACAAGGGACCTATCTCTAAAGTTTATAGAAAACTCCAGTACCTCAACAATCAAAAGACAAATAATCCAATTTAAAAAATGGGCAGAAGACATGAATACATACTTCACCAAAGAGGATATTCAGACACCCAACAAACATAAGAAGAAATGCTCATGATCATTAGCCATTACAGAGATGCAAATCAAAACATCAATGAGATACCATCTTGCTCCAGCACTAGTAGCAAAGTACAAGAAGATAGAAAATACCAAATGCTTGGGACCATGCAGAGAGATTGGTACTCTCACACACTGCTGGTGGGATTGTAAAATGATACAACCATTGTGGAAAGCAGTATGGTGATTCCTTAAAAAGTTGGAATTAAAATTACCATTTGACCCAGCCATTCCATTACCAGATACATATCCTAAAGAAGTGAAAGCCAGGACAAGAACAGATATATGCAAACCCTTGTTCGTCACAGCACTATTTCCAATAGCAAAATGATGAAAACAACCTAGGTGACAGAGAATGGAAAACCAAACTATGGTAAATACACACAATGGAATACTAAGTAACACTACAGAAGAATGTAGAATTTGCAAAATACTGCATAACATGGATGAACTTGGATGACATTACAATGGTGAAATAAGTCAATAACAGAAGGGCAAATATTGTATTAGTCCATTACTGTAAAAAGTCAAGGAAATGTTTATATATGGAAGAAAATTTTCTTTGCTGCTTAACAGGGGTGGAAGGCGAGGGAAGGGAACACTGCTAGACAGGTAGAGATAAGTATTGATTTGGATGAAGGGAAGGGCAATGTACCAAATGTGAGTGATCAACACTGGTGCTGAGGATGAGGAAGACAGAGATCCATGGTCGTTACAGACAACAAAGATGAACCGTAAACGTAAACCGTAAACACATAAAATAATGCATTGTCAGTGAAGGCAAGCATTGACATACAGGTGGATAGATTTGTGGACAGGCTGAACTAATAGCTATGTCTACCCAGGGTGGAGTGTGCCCATGATCATGTGTAGGGTTGGCAAACAATGATTCTATAAATATATTTGTATGTTCTGTAAGAATTCTCAGGTATATAGTAGAGCTGACGAGGGACAAGGTTGTAGTTACTTTTTTGGCCACAGCCAGCTACCTAGAGGGAGCAAACAGTTGGACCTGTGGGCTTGGGACCTTAGTCACAGGGGACATCTCAATTAGCATAACATACTAAACAAAAACACTGTTCCCTATCCTACTTTGATGAGTAGCAACTGGGATCTTAAAAGCTTTCAAGTGGCCTTGTAGATACAATGATGGAACTCTCCTCATCCAGAGCAAAGAAGAATAAAGAAAACCAAAGACACATGGAAATAATTAGTCCATGCAACTGGTAAACCATGTGAATCTCACCCTATATGACTATGAGACCAGAAGAACTAGATGCTGCCCAGCTACCACTGACAACCACTCAGAGGGGAATCTAGGCAGGAGATCCTAGATAGAGTGGGAGAGCAATGTGGAACAATGTGGAATAAAACTCAAAATCATTGTAAGAAAAAAAAAAAAAAGGGACCAGGTTTGCTGTTCTCATAGAGCCTGAAGGAACCACTAGGACTATGGCCCCTAGCTGCCATTCAGATCTGGAACTGAACCCACTCCCATGGCCTCAAGTCAAACAAAAGATAGGGATATGAGGTGAACATTTACTTCAGGTAGATACAATCCTTGAAAAGATCAATAATAGGAGAATAGAAGGGAGGTGTATACAGAGGGAGACAGCTCAGGAAGCAGGAGTACATGGAAAGGAAGGACACAGGGAAGAGGTAACTATGGGGAGGAAGGGGGAGGGGAGCTGTTGCATTGTGGGAAATTGTAGTCAATGTCATGAGATAAAGTGTATATGAGCTGCTGTATGGAAAGTGAATTTGCTCTGTAAACTTTCACCCAAATCACAATAAAAATTAAAAAGAAAAAGAAATTGTGCTTATGAGGAACTTGTATATAGATCTATCAGCAGTCATTCATAACAGAACAAGGTGATACTTCATGGTTTAAAATCAGGAAAGGTGTGCATCAATCCTGTGTCTTTTCACCATAATTATTCAATGTGTATGCTGAACAAATAATGTGAGTAGCTGGACTTACAAAGAAGAATGCAGCATCAACACCGGAGGGAGACTCATTAACAACTTGTAATATGCAAATGACACAACTTTGCTTGCAGAAAGTGAAGAATAATTGAAGTACTTATTTATTTATGAAGATCAAAGAGTACAACCTTCAGTATAGATACACTCAACATTAAAAAAAAAAAAAAAAGGAAATCCTCACAACTAGACCAATAAGCAACATCGTGAAAGTGCAGAAAAATTGAAGTTGTAAAGGATTCCATTTACTTGGCTACACAATCAATGTTCATGGAAGCACCAGTCAAGAAACAATATTTGTATTGGGCAAATGTGCTGCAAAAGACCTCTTGAACATATTAAAGAGCAAAGCTGTCACTTTGAAGACTAAGGTATGTTTTATCCAAGCCATAGTATTTTCAATAGCCTAATAGGCTCATGAAAGCTGGGCAATGAATAAGGAACACCAACGAAGAACTGATGCATTTGAACCGTTATGTTGGTGAAGAATACTGAATATGGACTTCCAGAAGTAAAACAAATCTGTCTTTGAAGAACAATAGCCAGGATGTTCCTTAGAAGCAAAAATGGCTAGACTTCATCTCTCATACTTTGGTCATGTTATCTTAATGAATCAGTCCCTGGAGAAGGATATTACTTTTGTTAAATAGAGGGTCAGTGAAAAAGGGGAAGATCCTCAATGAGACAGACACAGGGCTCCAATGACTGGCTCAAGTATGGCAAAGACTGGGAGGATAGCACAGGACTGATAAGTGTTTTGTTCTGTTTTTATACAGGTTGCTATGATTTGTAAGTGACTTGAGAGCACATAACAACAACCGTAACATTATCACTGGGATGAGATGATATCTCATCATTTTGATTTGTATCCCACTAGCATCAAATGATAGTGAGCATATCTTCAGGTATTTATTTCAAGAAACACATTTTGGGGGGACACAATTCAAACCATAACAGCATCCCTGAGTTATGTTCGTTGCCTGCAAGGCACAGATCCTTATGACATTCTTCCTTGATAATCAGAGTGCTTCAGGGTTTATAAAATGTTGCTGTTTTCTTTTTTTTTTTTTTTAATATTATACTGTATGCATAAACTTGAGTCTCATGACTTAATGAGTAAAGCAAGGGAGATATCATTCCTACTTTCCAGAGGCAGAAACTAGAGCTAAAGTAACTTAGCAAACATATACAACAGAGTCAGGACCTGAACCAGTCTTCTGACTCAATAATTTTCTTCCAGCTATCCAAAACGTTACAATATTGACTCCAATCATCACCTTACCAAATCTGTTATGAGTCCAAAAATGAAGAGACGTTAATACTATGGTTTTAGACAGATTAGAAAAAGACAACTGACAAACTGAAATTTACTAAACCCAGAGACCTTAAGAAGAAGAATCCTATATGTTAGAATTTTAAAACATTAATAAACGTTGTTCATTAATATACACAATTTTAACAGCTCAAAATAATCACATATCTTTTATTTTTCAATTTGCACTATGTAACTTAGACTAACACAACTTCAATCTACTGCTTGTTAAATAAATGGCCAAGAACTGTTCTTGCAGAGATATGCTTAGGAAAAAGTCCAAAGAGTATTAAAAAAAAAAAAACCTGTGAGAAGCAGTACGGTGGGAGTTAAGGAGAGCACTTAAAGGGAGTACTTTATCACTAACGTTGTGTGGTTAAAGAAACATGAACTGTACAGTAAGAAAGATTTTCCTTCAAAGACATGGTCTGCTAGGCAAGACAGTTACTTAACTTCTCTGATCGTCTATTTCCCTTGTAATTATCACCATTTACGAAAGGATTAAATAATATAGCATGAAAAATCCAGCAAATAGTAAATGTTGTTGTTGTTGTTGTTGTTATGTGCCGTCAAGTCGGACCCGATCATAGCAACCCGTCCTTGGGTTTTCAAGGCAGTATCACTACAGAAGTAGATTGCCCAATCTTCCTTCTGAGTTTTCTCACAAATTGTTCAGGCTCAAAAATACAAACCAATTTGGATACCAATTTGGACACTTTAGACTGGTTGTTCTAATAATTAAGCTTTCCAGTATAAATAGAAGGAGCCCTGCTGGCACAGTGGTTAAGCATATGGCTATTAACTGTTAGGCCAGTGGTTTGAACCCATCAGCCACTCTGTTGAAGAAAGATGTGGCAGTCTGCTTCTATAAAGATTTGAACACCTGTAAGTCCAATAGGGCAGTTCTACCCTGTCATAGGTTGCTACAGCATGGAATCAACTTGAAGGCAATATGTTTGGTTTTAGTATAAATACCAAAACACCGAACCAAACTCACTGCCATCGAGTTGGATCTGACTCATAGCGACCCCTCCTTGGGTTTCCGAGGTTGTATCACTACGGAAGTAGATTGCCCAACCTTCCTTCTGAGAAGTGACTGGTGAGTTTGAACCACTAGCCTTCTGGTTAGCAGTCAAATGCCTTAGGCACTACGCCACCAGAGCTCCCTCAGTATAAATAGTATTACTAATTTCAATACCTGATGTCAAAAACACTTTATGGCACCCTGACTAAGTCTGTCTTAGGGTAGATGTTTACAGCAGCTCAATAAAGCGCATTGTTTTCTAACATTCCAGTCTGTCCAGAAAGACTAATAGTTCCAAAAAGAAGCTCTTCTGATACCCTTAAGCATAACTTCTGATTCTTATTTAGGATAATATAAAGGATAATACAGAAACCTTATCCCAAGTTTATCATTCAAAAGACTTACCAGCAACCCTTAGCAACTCAGCAAGGCCCAGAAGTTTGGCTGATTGTTTGTAGCATGTGGGGGACTGAGAAATACACTCTTTGATGAGGCCAATCCGATCAGAGAACAATCGTACTACAAAAGAACAACATATTATAGACTTATAAGTGTAAACCAGGGACATCATACAAGGGTATTAGGACTCCTAATTTAAGGTAATCAAATAAAAAGAAAAGATCAATGAGAATGAAGTGAAAGGTATACTTTAAAAAAAAAATCTAAAATTATTATTTCTTCTGAAATAATAATACAAGCAGTAAAACTATTCATTCTTTTTAAACTGCCAAAGTTCAGGATATGAACTGTAATTTTAAAGCTAGGAAATATGTCATCTTTTCAAATTCTACGTCAGGTATTAATGAAACTTCTTAAGAAGGTACTATCTCTCTTTGAACATTTCTGTCACACCAGGTCCTGCCCTCATCTCATCCCTCCAAACCCATTCCATGTTCTAAATATCCATTTGCTATCTCCAGTGCATCTCCCTACTTTAGAAGATGTTGTTGTTGTTGTTATGTGCTGTCGACTCAGACCCAACTCATAGAGACCCCTCCTTGAGTTGCTGAGGCAGTATCACTACGAAAGTAGATTGCCCTATCTTCCTTCCGAGGAGTGGCTGGTGAGTTTGAACTGCCAGGCTTCTGGTTAGCAGGCAAGTGCCTATGCTACCAGATCTCCCACTTTAGAAGATAGGAGTTCTCAGAGTGCTCATGTGCCCAATTTGCTCAATCTTTCTCTAACAACAGGCCCAATTCTCTCATTTAAGCTAGATATTAGAAAAATAAAACATGTCTCATCAAATCAATTCATATCACAAGGTAACACACAGAATTTATAAGAAAGAGAAAAAAAATAAAGGGTGTATATATACATGCACAGAAAAATGGAACTTATTTAGGCTAAGCTGTCTCTCTTTACAAAGCATCGCACTGCCTAGGAGGCTGCTCCTTCAATGACTCTAATAACAATACAAACAATGATAATGACAGCAGCTGCATTAAATGAATACCATGTATGCCTAGGCACTGGTATAGATGCTTTCTGCATATTAACCCTTGTGAGGCAGATATATTATTAACATCAGGAGAGGAAACGAAGGTACAGAAAAGTTTAGCACTTTGGGCAAAGTCAATGAAAAAATGATGGGACCAGAATTCAACCTATTGTTGTTGTTGTTGGATGCCGTCCAGTCATCTCTGACTCATAGCAACCCTATGCACAGCACAGAAAAACACTGCCCAGTCCTGAGCAAGCTCCATGATTCTTGCTTTACTTGAGCCCATCGCTGCTGCCACCGTGTCAATCCATCTCGTTAAAGGCCTTCCCCTCTTTCGTTGACCCTCCATCTTGCCAAGCATAACATCCTTCTCCAGGGAATGGTCCCTTCTGACAACATGACCAAAGTACGTAAGACAAAGTCAGACCATTCTCATCTCCAAGAAGCATTCTGACTTCACTTCCTCCAGGACAGACCTGTTAGTTCTTTTACCAGTCCATGGTACTCTCAGCATTCCTCACCAACACTACAGATCAAAAGCATCAATTCTTCTTTGGTCTTCCTTATTCATTGTCCAGCTCTCACATGCATATGAGGCGGCTGAAAATACCATAGCTTGAGTCAGGTACACCATAGTCCTCAAGAAGACAACTTTGCTCTTCAGCACTTGAAAGAAGTCCTTTGCAGCCGATTTGCCTAGTGCTACATTTCGTCTGATGTCCTGACTGCTGCTTCCACTGGCACTGATTATAGAACCAAGCAATGTGAAGTCTTTGACAATTTCAATCTTTTCTCTATTTATTGTAATGCTGCTTATATATAGGTCCAATTGTGAGGACTTTTGTTTTTTTTATATTAAGATGTAATCTATACTGAAGACTGTATTCTTCCATCTTTATCAGTATTTCAAGTAATCCTAACTTTCAGTAAACAAAGGTGTGTCGTCAGTATATTGCAGGTTATTAATGATCCTACCCCTAAACTTGATGCCATGATCTTCTTCATATAATCCAGCTTCTCACATTATTTGCTCAGCATACAGATTGAGTAAGTATGGTGAAAAGATACAACCCTGATTCACTCCCTTCTTGATTTTAAACCATGCGGTGTTCCCTTTTTCTGTTTGAAGGACAGCCCCCTGGTCTATGTACCTCCTCAAGAGTACAATAAAGTGTTCTGGAATTCCTATTCTTCTCAATATTATCCACAGTTTCTTAGGATCTACACAACCAAATGCTTTTGCATAGTCAATAAAACACAAGTCAACATCTTTCTGGTATTCTTTGCTTTGAGTCAAGATCCATCTGACATCAGCAATTATATCCCTCATTCCAAGTCCTCTTCTGAATCCAGCTGGCATTTCTGGAAGATCTCAGTCAATATAATACTGCAACCATTTTTTAATTATCTTCAATAAGATTTTACTTGTATGCGATATTAAATAATACTGTTTGATAATTTCCACATTCTGTAGGATCAGTTTTCTTTGGAATGGGTACAAATATTAATCTCTTCCAGTCAGTTGGCCAGGTAGCTGTCTTCCAGATCTCTTGGCATAACCAACCGAGTGCCTCTAGTAGGGCATCCGTTTGATGAAACATCTCAATGGGTATTCCATCAATTACTGGAGCTTTGTTCTTCGCCAATTCTCTCAGTGCAGCTTCAACTTCTTCCTTCAATACCATTGGTTCTTGAACATATGCCACCTCCTGAAATGGTTGAAGATCAACCAGTTTTTTTGTTACAGTGAGTCTGTGTATTCATTGCATCATCTTTTGATGTTTCCTGCATCATTCAATATTTTGTCCATGGAATCTTTCAATATTGCAACTCAAGGCTTAAATTTAAATTTTTTCCTCAGTTCTTTCAGCTTGAGAAATACCAAGCGTGTTCTTCCCTTTCGGTTTTCTAACTCCAGGTCTTTGCATGTTTCATTACAGTAATTGGCTTTGTTTGCTCAAGCTGCTCTTTGAAATCTTCTGTTCAGCTCTTTTATCTTGTCAGTTCTTCCATTTGCTTTAGCTAGTCTTTGCTCAAGGGCAATTTTCAGAGTCTCTTCTGACATCCATTTTGGTCTTTTCTGTCTTTCTCATACTTTTAATGACCTCTTCCTTTCTTCATGGATGATGCTCTTGATGTCATCCCACAATTCTTCTGGTTTTCAGTCATTGGTGTTCAATGCATCAAATCTATTCTTCAATAGTCCCTAAATTCAGGAGGGAGGGATATATTCAAGGTCGTATTTTGGTTCTCATGGACTTGTCTTCAAATTCAAGTTGAACCTGTATATGAACAGTTGATGGTTTGTTCCACAATCAGTTCCTGGCCTGATTTTGGCTGAAGATATTGATCTTCTCCATCACCTGTTTCAATAGATGTAATCAATCTGATTCCCGTGTATCTGGCGAAGTCTACGTGTATAGCTGCCATTTGTGTTGTGGAAAAAAGGGTATTTTCAATGAATAAGTTGTTGGTCTTGCAAAATTCTATCATACGATCTCCAGCATTATTTCTGTCACCATGGCCAAATTTTCCAACTACCAGTGATTCTTCTTTGTGTCCAACTTTTGCATTCCAATAACCACCAATAAGCAACACATCTTGATTGCATGTTCTGTCAATTTCAGACTACAGAAGCTGATAAAAATCTTCAATTTCCTCACCATGGCTTTGGTCGTTGGTGTGTAAATTTGAGTAATAGTAGTATTAACGGGTTTTCCTTGTAGACGTATGGATATTATCCTATCACTGACAGCACTGTACTTCAGGGTAGATCTTGAAACATCCTTTGTGATGATGAATGCCATGCCATTCCTCTTTAAACTCTCATTCCTGGCATAGTAGATCATATGGTTATCTGATTCAAAATGCCCAAAACCTATCCATTTCAGCTTACTAATGCCCAGGATATCAATCTTTATGCATTCCATTTCATTTTTGACAACTTCCAATTTTCCTAGATTCATACTTCTTACATTCCATTTTCCAATTATTAATGGATGTTTGAGCTATTAATCCCCAATTTGAGTTCTGCCATGTCAGGACATGGAGGTTCTGATAGACTTACTTTATCCGTATCACTAAGGTTGGTTCTACTCTAATGAGGCAGCTCTTTCCCAGTCCTATTTTGAGTGCCTTCTGACCCAAGGGGCTCATCTCCCTGCACTGTGTCGGACAATGTTTCCAACCAATTCATAAAGTTGCCCAGTAATGTATCAGACAGTGTTTCTCTGCTATTCATAGGTTTTCCCTGGCCAGTTTTTGAGAAGCGGACGGCCTCTTACTTCTTCCTAGTCTGTCTCAGTCTGTAAGCTGCATTGAAACCTGTGCACCATGTGCAACTCTGCCAGCATAGGAAAGACCAGTGGCAAAGCCTCAAGCCTCACAGCAATGTGCAAGCCAGACAGGATGACAAACTGACAGACTAATTTGTCTGTCTTAGCTGTTGGAATACTCTGGGCCCTCTCCTTATCTAATAGCTAGATAGTCAACCTAGCTCCCTAAATATTTCTGTTTTTCATATTTTTATTACTTTAATTTCTTTAAACCCATAGCTATACACCCTAAACCTTGTTTTCTAAAAACTTCTTCTTGTAGGTAAGAGGAGGCACAAAGGGTGTAGAACATAAAGAAAAGAGGTGGTAGTTGTTCTTTGGAATGGGCTCTTTTGAGGAGGAACACTTTATTATGATTTCATTTCAATCATACAAAAACCTAGCAATAACAATGTAATAAACTCTTCTATACATTTTACCAAGACTGTTGTTGTTAGCTGTTGAGTTAGCCCCTGACCCATGACAACCACATATGTTACAGAGTAGAACCATTCCATAGAGTTTTCCCATGTTTTCTGTGGCCAATTTTTTAGAAGTGCATATTCCTATCCTTCTTCAGACTATGTCTTAGTCTGGAATCTCTGCTGAAACCTGTCCATCATGGATGATCCTGCTGGTATTTGAAATATCAGTGGCATACCTTCTAACCTCAACACAACCATAAGACACCAAAGTGTGAGAAACTATCAGACTTGAAGCACTTACATATGAAAATCAAAGCCTATAGTCTTTAGTATGGATTA